GAGAAGAAGACTCTTCCATTTTTAGATGCAGTGAAGAACTGTGTTTACCGATTCTTGAAAGTGATTTTCTGTACAGTCACCAATACAGAGTCTGTTTTTAATGCAGGCTTTCCTCATTTCTGGCCTTCTCCGTTGCATATAAAGAGTTTCTAAATAATTTAATGGCATTGCGTACCCTATTTTTATACATTGTGCAGTCGGATATAAAGTAAAGTTATTTTTAAGTTATCAAACTATTTATCAGTGCAGCCTTTTACAGATTGAGAACCCATCGCCATCTTTATTTCTGAAAGTCTTTCTGGGATGCATTATGGCCTTTGGATATGTTTTTATGTATTTGTATTGTTTATGTGTTTTTTTTAAATATTTTTTATATCTTATATTTAACAATCAAAGTTGAACTGTATCTCTGCTGACATTATCTAATGTCTTCTTAGAGCTAAACAGTTGGGACCATTACAAAAACTGCTGCTTAAGGCATTTGGACAGCAAAACAAAGATTCCTCTGACTTAAAATCAGCTATTAGAAACACATTTTGTAGCTGATATTTTCGTAGTAATAAATTTTTGGCTCATCAGCACATTATGCAAATTTTGTAAAGTGTAATAACTTTGACAAACACCACCCAGCAACTCTTTTTAACTGGCATGAAAGACATATTACGCTTTATGATGAATATGCAATTTATTGTAAATAAGCCAAACATGAGAAAACCTGGTGAGGAGCTTCTCTCTGTGGCCAGTTGGTAACATCCAGATGTTCATCAGTTCAAAAGGTCTTTGCTTGCCAGCAGCCATTAGTCTATTTAATGAGGACAATTCAGAGCCAGTACATCCAGGATAAATAGGAGATGCTGCACTGTAGAAAATAAACTTGTACGTAATGACTCGTGTGCATAAAAGTGTGTAGTCTGTTTTCCGCTTTGTTGTGCTCCTCCTGGTGCTGCGAGGCTTGCTGCACTTCTCCTTTTGTATCAGTTCAGTTTATGAAGAAATCACTTCATCGAAGGAGACGTGGGTTGCATGAAACAGTACGAGACGCCAGTAAAATAAATAAATAAATAAAGAGCGACTCCACTCGCGGTTTAGACTTATTGTGCATATGTCAGTTAAACTAGTTTAGATCAGCACAGCACTGCTGTCAGAGGAAGGCATCTCCAACATGAAAGTGAAGCTGAACCTATTTGATATTAATAGCTTTCAAAATTTGAAATTTAAATATATTATGAATGGCTACAGTGAGTGGTTTCCCTGGGCATTTTTATTTTCTGTTACATTTAAAATCCCATCATACAGATACAGCTTTGATGAGTAGTTATGCCCTCGGGCTGCAATGATTTAAAAAAAAAAAAAAACAGCAAATCTACTTTTAACAAACGTATGCTCTTTTTGCATTCGATAATCAAGTTGATCAAGAAAGACTAGTTTTGGTATGAAATGCTTAAATTATTATTAAATCTATTAGCTCAATCAAAATGACATTTTTTTGGGGGGCGGGGGGTAAAAACTCGCTTAACTCACCAACAAAGTAAGCATTAGAAGATCAGAAGGAAAAGCTGTAGCAATGGCTAACAACTGCACACTACATATGAAGTCCCAATCCTGACTGCAGGCAAAAGGTGTCTTCATAACTAGAGGCTTGGTCCCATTACTAATCTGAGATTATGCGACCAGGATGGAGGTCAGTTGTTGAAGTATTTTTGCATAGTAGACACACAAAAATATTTCTCATGTCAATTTGTGTTAGAAATAGAGAAAATTGACTGACTAAGAACCAAAAGCAGCACCACCTTGGATCTGCAGCCAGTTTCACAATAAGTTTTTTTTTTTTTTAACATATTTGCTACTGATAAATGTTTATGCATTCTTATTTTAGCCTGTTCAAAGTTGTCCCAACAGGAAACTGGTCATGCAGACGTGAAGAGTGACTCAATTCTTGACAGGTGAGAAAACCTTGAATTTTCTCTGCACAGCTCATCATTTTAACAATAGCATCAAGCTAAAAATAGCTACAGTTTCTGTAGGAGCCATAATTGAATGTATTGAATTTTGATGATCACTGGGTTTTCATTTGTTTGGTTGCTATGGTGATGTGTAATGGGAGTCACGTGGGTGCTAGCGGTGACATTAAGAGGGCGTTGTCAGTCTGTCATTCACTGGTTTTGATTTTGACAGAGAGGAGGGCTGGGTAGCCGTAGTTTTTGTTGACCGCTGCACAACATGTTTTGCCTTGTTACATTAGAGCCTGTGACGTTGTAAGAGTCCAAATCGCGAGATGACATTACTCTGTAAACACTTTAATAAACAAGCAAACAATTCCACCTCTCGCATTATTGCGTAAAGTTGACAGTGCGTCAGGCAAATAGGCAGGCTCCATCCCCGGCCTCTAGCGACTGTGGAAGTCACTACAGTTTCCTTGCTAGCACAGAGGCTGCACTGATGGTGTCGAAGCTTTATCAATCTGACATGAAGTTTAATAAAATACTACTTTAGCAACCAAACTATAAGCATAATTCACCAAACATAGAAGAACTCATTATAATAGTACACAAGCAGTTTATGGAGACAGGACTGAACATTACAGTTAGCAGGGTTGTCCTCCAAAGGTCTCCAAAGTTAGCCTAGCCGAGTGGATGAGGTACCCCGTGTTGAGCTAAGTTGTTAATAAAAAAAGTTTATTTCTGTTTTTTTTTTTTTAAATTAAAAATTACACAAAAAGAGACAGCAAAGACTGTATGACCAAATTAACAAAGGAACACAACAAAATCTAAAATTCGGTCACGTGTATAGAATATAAGTCTAATAATGTGACCCAAAATATACTTCTTTTCAAAAAAGTAGCTGCCTTTTTTATTATGAAAAATTTAAACAGTCAGACACGTATACACGGGGCAGGGCTACACCATTCATTAATAATACTAATATTCACTTACCATAGACAGGAGCAACAACTTTGAGAGGCTAATAGAACATCCCAGCACTGTTTTAATGGCTCCAATTTGTAAATTGACTTGAGGCTGTTAAGGTGTGTCCCATATAAATCCTGCCAGTTCAAGGTCTTTACCCTGGGGTCTGCTACTAGTTTTATCCAAGCCACTCTACAACCACTGCAACAGTCATGAAAAAGTTTCACAAGGACATAAAGTTCTATGTGTGCAAGATATGCTTGATCTGTTTTAAGGTGAAACCTACTAACTTCATATACATCATGTTGCTATATTATTTCTGCATGTGGGTCCAGAAGCATAAATCTAATTCATTTGAGGCTGGTGAGTACCACAGTCGCTTTTTAAAGAACCAAAAAGGCAGAAAAACATGATCTCATAGAAAACAAATAGTTGCCAACATACATCCAACGGTCTTACATTTGTCCATACAACTCTTATATTCACCGTTATTTATGGTGGTTGTCCAATAAGTACAAAAAATTCCAGGTGGGGAGAAACTGTGTGAAAAAATGTCTTGTATTTCTTCATAATTATGCTTAAAGTGATTAAATAAAGTGCTTGATCTGAGCTGTGGGGAAAATCTAATTTAAAAGACATTCCCCATTTATAGCTGCCCCTAAGATGCCTTTGCTTTTGCTCTAATAAAAGGCTGTGTCTTGTTAAGGGACAGACATAACACATATCACTGTAAAATGCCTCTGCAGCATATTACTGTCATATTGCCCCACAAACCATCCAAAGCTATTCACACAAGCATCTCTTGAGTGCCCCCTGCCAATCCCTCTTAGGGCCCTAAATAGAGGCCCTCTTCTTATAATGAAGATTAAAGTGACATTTGGATGAGTGGTGGCTATATTGCTCACAGCCTTGATGGGAAGAGCAGGATGGGACCGCGAGCCAAAATAGGATGGCTAACTAGTCTCTCAACAAACACAAGCTGTGCAGCATGTGGAAATCCATCCTAAACTGTAGTGTTTACACTGTGTGGTGCTGTGGAAATGAGCAAAGTATTACAGATGGTGGCCCATCAGCCTCAGCACAGCAGGTGAAAGAGGCCAACAAAGTCAAGCGGAGCTCTAAGGGCCATATTGGGATACACTTCTGAGAAGGTTGATTTTGCCATGGAGAGGTTACAAACTCATTAATCACATCCACAATTGTCGCAGAAGCTGACGATTGGACAACCATCAGCTTCTGCGATCAGATTCATCACCGTGCGGTGGATCAGACACCTGAGCTGGAAATATATAAACGTGAGGCAGGGGGAAGCGAAAAAGGAGTGCACTCCTGTCCTAGAAATTCTCTGTGTCAGTTTAAAAATACTTGGATGCACAGCTCTTGAATAGTTTGGCACATTTAAGAGCAGACACTGAAGCCGGAAAACGGCATCTCCTGCATCTTCTAATTTATTTGCAACGGACGATTTGAAAATACGTTTGACTTGACACTGTGCTCTGTAGCTTTACTGTGACAGCAAGTCTGCGATCAGTTTATGGTCCAGTTTGTACAGACAGATTGTGACTGCATGCTACCTCTCGGGGGACCCAAGTCTGCAAATAGTTGGCCCACATGAGGGGAGCGAGAGGGCATAAAACACATGCAGAAGTTGGAGGGTGTTGTGCTCCGTCTTTAAATAATCCAATTAGAGCTAAATGATAATCAGCGAGCGCCTAGGATTAGAGACTCGGGCGGCTGCAGTCGTAGTACTGCAGCAGAATCAGCAGCACCTGTGAATGACTCATTTCTCGGAAGCAAGAAACTATCGAGCGCCTCTGTGAGCAGGATTCAGCCGCACACTGAAGCAATTTGGGATCATTACTGACAAAGATTAAAATGTATCAAACCACTTAGAATGAGGATTGGGGATAAGGGATTTACATATTAAAGACAAATCTTATAGCCTGTATAATAACGTGTTTGCCTGAGCAGGAATGGCGATAACTTAATCCACTTTCTCCTGCAGTGAGACGTTCTACTCCTAAACGTTGCTGAAGCTTGTGGCATTTGCAAAGGTGTACACAAGCATGCTTTCCCAGCCATAACCGCTCTCACCTCTGTCAGTGTCGTAAAGGTAGACGAACTTCTCCCACTTGTAATGGTCCAGCAGGCTGAGAACAGCTCCTCGCAAACTGGGCCTCATCTGGATGACAAACTGCACGTCGGTGTCGATGGGAAAGCTGGGAGTAATGAAGGAGGTGTGCAGTGCCCCGCAGAAGGAGGTCAGCGTGTTCATGGACTTCCTGTCGTAGAAGCCGAAGATGGCGTAAACTCCTCGGGAGAACTGGGAGCAGACTAGTGCAAAGGACAAAGAACAGGTTCAGGTCATGGATTCAAACAAAGATTTATGCCAAGTTTCTCCTAATTTCAGAAGAGATGTCAATAATCGCTGTGACATACTGAAAGTTAAAGCTGCTGAGTGCCTGTGCAGAAATAATAAAAAAAAAAAATTGAATGTAAGGTTGAGATGAGAGGGAAGTCTTTATGCTGTTAATCTTGCAAGTGAAGCAGCGGCTATCTGAATAAATGGGCCTCACGCGGGATGCCTGCTCCCTATGGCAATGCTCTGCTGCCCGGTGCCCTTCACTTATCCTTGCTGTAAATGCAACTGCTTGGGTAATCAACTAGAAATAATGGGGAAGTCAGTGCACTGGCCACAGCTCTTAATGGACAAATATCCTGACACATGAGCGTCCAAATGTTCGAGCGCTGGGCTGTGCTGCCGCTGTATAAAAGATTTACAACAAGGCCTATCTGTTGCCATCTGTGGGCCCATGGAAATGAGCCGCGGCCACAAACACTAAACAGACACCGAGTCTTACAAGGTGTTAAGTATTTCATTTTATTTGTGTATAATAAACTGGTTCAGTACCACCAAGGAGGATTAAATCAGAGGCATGACAGCCGTCCTAATATTAGTAATGACTGAAGGAAATGTTGGTCAGTGCAGCAGACCTGCTCTGATATTTCTGACCCTCTGCTCCGCACAGGTCACAACGCTAGAAAGAGGCTAGAAATGTTTGGATTTTAGCATTACAGTTACGGAATAGAGTATTATCAATAAAGTATAAAGTTCTCTTATTTCATTTTGAGTTTCTGTACAAAATGAAGGAACAAAGAGGTTATTCTTTAAATAGAAAATCAAGTTACATACATATTGTTCAGTAATTAGCATCAAAAACAAGACATCTAAAGGAAACCAGCTGTGCATATTTCCCTGTCAACCCCTGCATTCAGCCTCTGTCTGTCTCTTTAAGGCCTCCCTCCCAGTGAGCACCCTATCTGTTCTTACTGGGCAGCTTGCTCTGCCCCACAGCAGACTTCCACTAGTCAGATTTCACTGTCAAATGCTTAAATACATCATGCATATCTTGAGGTCCAGCTCCCATCTAAAATATGCCTGTGGACAAGGCCAACAACCATATATAGCAACAACCTCTGCAACAGAGGTCACATAAGATGGTTATATGTGGGCACACACAATCTGATTGGTTTAGATGAGGAAGTGGAGCGCGTTTAGTGCATGTTTTCGACCGACGGGAAGCATTTGATTTATTGATAGAAACTTTGATTGCACACATGCACGGCACAGGCTCAAGAAATCATAACAAAATATAAATAATAGCAAATCTCATTAGCAAATTGTATAAATAAAAAGTAATTTGTGCTTCTTCTGAAATTAAGCATAATTTATTGCAAAGAAACAGCTGGTGGCCTATTCCACTTGTCAGGATTCAGGATGCACATTGCATTAATTCATGCATTAAATCATCATGACTCATGAATCACTGATGGAAAACGGGCGTTTTTATCCTTCAGTAGTGTTTTACTCATGAGAAAGTCCTGTTTACGTTGTCGGGCACACGAGAATGCGCATGCATGACCGTAGACTGTATGCTCTGCTTAATGCACCAAGAAATGCAGCAACAGCAGAAGCAAATATAAATGCATATAAAATCAAAAGCTTCATAAAACAATTTTACACGTGTACTTTTCTACCATTGTTACTTTTATGTGTCGGTGGATTTCGAGGGAATGTTGAAAAACTACATATAGTCTAAACTAGGAGTTAAAGTCTAGAAATGATTGGTCAAATAAAAAAAAAGAGTTTTTAAGTTTTAAGATTTTATGATTGCAGTCAGAGTAAAATAATTTCACAGATCTGCGATTTCATGTGTTATTTGCTGGATGTTTTCACCATTTGCTTCTGTTCGTTTGACTTTTCCATTAAGACAGCCATTCCGTCACCCACACATAGTTGATGATTCGGTTCAGTCATCTCTCCCTCTCTCATTTTATCATCAGACCAGCCTGTGTACGTCTTGGATGGCCACAGTGCACCTGTTATATAATCAAGGGGCTGCTGCACTCAAACATTTAAGCAAAAAAAAAAAAAGCCAGAAAAAATGTCAGAAAAGATCGATTCCTTTTAAAATCAGCATGCTTCACCTCAAATTACAGACTCACAGCAACATCCAGCTCGTGTTATTCATGCAAAATAGCACACTGCCATAAATAAACACCTCTCAGCTCATCGAAAATCATCCGATCCTATTGGCAAAATGACTGCATTATCTTTTGATTGTCAAGGTTAAACGGACAGCCTGTTCTCCCAAAGGACTAATGAAATCATATATTTGGGCTCATGAAGCTGTAAACACCAGCCAACTACAGTAAATTCCCCTGATCACGGTCAGAAATGAAGTTACGCATCATTGACTTTATTACAGTGGTGAAGTGAAGCTATTTTACTGCTCTGTGCGTTTCTGTTCAGAATACTAACACAGGCCTTCCATCCATGATTAATATCCAGCTGGAGAAATTCAGCTCTCTTCACTCTTTGTCGACTCTCATCTTATTCATCACCTAACAAACACCCACATCTGTCTGTCACCGTTGCCTCTCTCTCTTTTACCCCTCACCCCCTGATTCTCTTCACCTTTTCAAGCTTAAGAGGTACACACAGCAGCTCCAGTAGCACCAACACCATCACATGTCTTCTCCGTTTCTTTTTTTTTAGTCTGAGTCCATCAACAAAATTGCTGTTGGTGGGATGAACCTGTATGTGCACAGCAGATCTGAGCCTTTAAACTGGATTCTTATAGCTCTATCTCAGAATGGAAATAGACGTGAGCTGCTGTCCTCGCCTGAGAAGCGAACAGCAGACGCAGTAAGGAAATTGAACTTTATGCGCATAAGACAGTAAGAATGAAGAAATAAACAGTGGATAACTCGTGCTGCGATGAGGAGTTGAGCTTCACTGTTCAGAGCTGTGAGGTTTGAGAGGACTGGGTGCTGCATATGAACAAAGTCAGGACAACAGTTTTATTTTTTGTGACAATATTAAATAACCTCTTAATGTGTTTACTGCTGCCTGGCGGGAAGTTATTTTTCCACTGCCAAAGAGCTGCGTCTGCAAGAGCAGAGGAAAGCAGGAGGGCTTCAGATTGTTTTACACAGGGACGTGAGGGAAGTCACATTGGTTTATGCCACATGGGGATACCTGCTCTGCGCTGTCACAGGGTCACATGTTCACTAAATAAAGAAGCCAGTGAACAAAATGCAACATGCAACTGTGCCGGCTTGTAAAGGACAGGGTCAAAGAGAAAACTAGAAACACTGAACATATTCACCAACTCAGGTGGTGTAACAGGAAATGCCAGAAGATCATCAAGGGGTTGAAACCGTGAACATCATTACTTTGAGAGCTGGATTGAAAATCACACCAAAAGTCAAAGTAAAAAAAAAAACACAGGCTGACCTCTGAGTCTGTGTGCGTTCCAGACAACATCTGGGCACACGCCTGATGAGACAGTCGATGGTGTCTTAGGGGATCCCTTCTCAAATTTGGATTATGAGTTGAGTTTGCTTCTGGGCAGCGTATGGTGCTATTTGTCAGTGTCTGGTATACTGATACATAACATTACAGAGGATCTCAATTGGATTCTGTTCTGAGGAACATCACAGACAGTCAATGATCTTCATTGTTCAAGAGCTGTCTACACACTGTTCACATGAAGCCGGAAACTGTCCTCCATCAGGAGCAACCCAGGGTCCACTGCACCAGCATAAGGTCTGACAAACGGTCTGAGGATTTCATCACAGTATCTAACAGCAGTTAGGATATTTTCGACTAGCACTTGGAGGTCTGTGTACGCCTCCAAGGACATGCCCGCCCAAAGACCACTACCCAACCAGTCATGCTGGATAATGTTGAGGGCAGCATGACGTTCACCACAGCATCTCCAGACTCTCTGAACCTCCTACATGTTAGAAAAGTAGAAATCTTCACCTATAAAGAAAACGAGGTGCCAGTGGTGTTCCTGCCAGTTCTTGTGTTCTCAGAAAAAATGCCAGATGAGCTGCGAGCAAAGTTCCCATTAAAGGATGTCTGGCTTTCTAGGGAAATCTAATCAAAAATATGGCCATCAGTAGCCAACTGGAGGTAATGCTGTAGTGCTCTGCCAGTGATCCTCCTGTTTTCCCTGGGACAAGGAAACAGATACCTGTCATGTTGCCGGGTCGATGCCCTTCCAGTTCTGTTCATGCAATGCCCCGTCTTCTGGTATGTTCTTTTTTTTTTTTTGAGACTGCGCTGAGAGATGCAGCAGATCTTTCTGTAACAGAGGTTTGGATTTGTATTTCTGGAGGAGTTGGACAACCTGTGTAATCTGAATCGACTGCAGGTACCCTCTTATGCTACCACTAACAACAAGGACACTGAAAAAAAGCAAAACTGGAAAAATCACTCAGGCAGGTTAAGGGGAGTGCAGTGGTTTGTGACCACCTCCTACTAAACCATTCCCTTCTGCGGGGAGGTTCTCTTGTTGTTGCCTCTCCAGTGCACCTGTTGTCACTTTCATTTGCACCAAAGCAGGTAAAATGGACCCACAAGGGTTTATGTTTCCTAACTGGATAGATTGATATCCCTGAAGTTTAACAAGCTTGGTTTTATATTGTGAGTGTTCCCTTTGTTTTGTTAGCAGTATGCATCAGTGAATGCATTGTTTCCTAATGGAAACAAGCTGGACGCTAAGCTGAAGAGCAAACAGCTAGCATGTCTTTCTGTTATTCTAGGTAATGTGCATCCTGGCAGCATCTGTGGGATGTTTTAGCTGGACAGGATGCAAACAGATTTTTCTTGAATATTTATATTTGATGATGCAAAACTACCGGTAAAAGCTGTTAATGTGGTCATAAAGTGGTTTAAGCCCACTATGCATGCACTTATCAGTAGAGGCTGAAGAGGTAGAATCACTATCTATACAGAGTGATTATAATATTCTGTAGATGCT